ATATATTTGTTTATTTGGGTCTAGTCTAGCAAAACTGAATGTTAAGACGTGTTTTCCTTTCTTGAGCTATGTTGGTGTACAAGCATGTTTAGCAGTGGTTTCACTCTTTTAATTGTGCGACCGTTCTACTTGTTCCCAGAGTTCTTTTCGTTTACCTGAATGGATTTAAATTAATGCTGCATATTACGAGTTTTTTTCAGTGGGTTATATTGCGTAGTATATGATGACATCTGTCACTCTAAAGTAAGTTTTCTTATTCAATTTGCTTCTTTATGGCTTTTTCAGGAAGTCACTGAACACTTTTGTGTCTTTTTTTGATTTTAAATTTTATGAATTCTTTAGGGGTTCGAAACCGGCAGTTCCAGAGACGGTATTGAAAAAAAGGAAGTCGAAGGCCAATAGACACCAGAAAAATGCGCTTGCAAAGGCGAACCGAATTAAGGTTCTTTACTGACTACTTTTTTTTTGATTTTTTTTACTGATAGTTAGAGCATACTTCTTGTTGGAACTCTCAGCTGTGTTTAATATCTGAGGTGGTTGGACGTTTAGTGACTTTTAGAGTTTCAACGACATCTCTGTCACTACTATCTTTATTACAAATATGTAACACGTATAAACCAATTTTCATTCATCACGTGCTGTAGAAATGATTTCCTATTGTCTATTATTTTTTCAAAATATTTTTATTTTTCTTTTGTTTACTCGTCTTTATCTTGAAAAAGTCCTTATATTGCTTCTCAAAAAAGCGTAGGAAAGAGGAATAAGGTCATTAATTTTGTGAAACCACTATTTAATTGCTATTTTTCGAAACCTTTTACCTGATAGTATTTCAGAAAGGAAGGGAGAAAAAAATCAAGATTTTCAAGCGAGCTGAGTCATATGTTAAAGCATATCGGCAGAAGATGAGGAGAGAGATACAATTGAAGCGAGAAGCAAAGCGAGTAGGAAACTTTTACGTTCCGGACGAACCAAAGCTCGCATTTGTAATAAGGATTCGTGGTGTGAATCAAATTCATCCTCGGCCGAGAAAAGTCTTGCAGTTGTTTCGACTTCGTCAAATTAACAATGGTGTTTTTGTGAAGTTGAATAAGGCTACCTTACAAATGTTGCGCATTATCGATCCTTACGTTGCTTGGGGCTACCCTAATTTGAAAACTGTACATGACCTCGTTTACAAACGAGGTTTCATCAAGTACAATAAGAGGCGAGTCCCAATAACGAGTAATGCGTTGATTGAAAAGTGCTTAGGTTAGTTTTCCAATTTGCCCTTGTCTCCTTTTTCGGGTTTTCGGTTTTTGAGATTTTCTTTTTCAGGAACGTCAGACGTCATTTGTATAGAAGATATGGTCCATGAGATTTACAGTGTCGGACCTAATTTCAAGAAGGTGACGAACTTACTTTGGCCGTTCAAACTGAACAACCCGACGGGTGGTTGGACTAAGAAGACCAATCATTTTGTTGAGGGAGGTGATTTTGGTAATCGCGAAGACCAAATCAATAAACTCTTGCGAAAAATGATATAATTTTTGTTGTTAATTGTTCTTCAACTGGTCGTCACAAAGTGTTTTTTTTGATAAAGACATACAACGTTGTTGCTAGAGCGAATTGTAGAGTTTCACCAGCACACATTATTTCGGGATATCTGCGCTGTAACACAATGGAAAATGAGTGGGCTTTGTGGCTTGTGGATGTAAGTAAACAAAGTGCAAAAAAGGGAGTGTAGGAGATTGGTCAA